ACCTCTTTTGGATTACAGTGATTCTTTTTCTCTCTATTGGTTCATTTGAGTATCCCTGAAATCATGGCTTCTTGTCTGCTTATCACAGCCATATTGTGTGTCTTGATAACAACTGTGGCAACAATTGTGGCTTTCACAACTCCCAATTGGCTTACATACTCAAGTGCTTTAACAGGTACCATATGCAGTTGCCCTCATATTTTAAGCTGTGATTGTGGCTTGTGGCTCTACTGTTCAGGTAAAACCCGTGATTTAGAGAATTGCCGTTGGTACTTTCATAACGATTATGAAATTGAAAGAACCCTTCCAGGTATGTATATGTTTTCTGATATTTTTTTTGTATGTATCACAGGCTTATACAATTTTTTTTTATTTTTTTATCTTGAGCTGTAATTGACTAATTCAAGTAATTGTTTATTCTGTTAAAAAGTAATAAATAATTTAAAGAAAATTTTATATTTAAGTGAATAAAAATGTGTCCACTTGGGCAGAGGGAAATGGTCATTATATTCAATCTGAATTAAGTGACTTCGTTACAAAGAACTTTTGCTGATCAGGAAGGCTGAATAGTTCCTTTTAAATGAAATCCTTCTCTTCATAGTCTCAAAATTTTCATATCTGCTCTGCTTTGTATCCAAGCATAACCAACGTAATTTTTAAAGTAATGGATTTTTAGTTATTAATCCAACAGCTTGGTAAAATCTGTCAGATTAATAAATAAAAGATCCATATTTAACTGATAAACATAAATCAAAGTGATGATAGCTTTTAAAAATGATTGAATATTAAAAAAAAAAAAAAATCAGTAGAATATAGGTGATTAATTTTTTTTTTAAATTTGAAATTTTCAACTTAATTTCACTTTACTATCAAACAATGGGATGATAGTGCAGTTTATACATTTGCCTGCTTACATCAAGGGTGTTCTTCAAAACAAAACCACACCTCATATCTGCTCTAGGATAACTACTAATGAAAAATCAAAGAGAAAGGTTGTTGCAGAAATGTGCTATTATTAAGATGACTGCTCAAGAAGCTAATAGTTATTCTACAATTTGAGAAAGAGGAGCATACATAAAGGGTGATTTTTTTTTTTTTTTTTTTTTTTTTTTTTTTTTTTTTTTTTTTAAAAATGTCATTCTTAATAGGGGTCAATTTTGAGTAATCAGAGCTAATTACAATTGTGAATTTAGTGGTATGGTAATTCAATCTGTACACTGGATAGTACAGACTGTGAATTAGTGGAAACAGGACAGGCAATAACTGAGTAATGCTAAATAAAAACAAGAGGAGATATCCTTAGACATAAAGAGTGGAAGGAGAACAATCTATCTACTCTAATAGATTAAATAAAGAGTTCAATTCAAAATTTCCTGAAGACAATTTGGATTGACAGACACCTGAAGAAAACTGGGGAGACACAAGGGCTGAAATAACAACAACAAAGATAGAACATAAGTCTGAATATAAATAATAATAATTATAATTGATTTTGCTAATATTTTGATGTTCATTTTTTTTTTTTTTTTCTGTAACATGGATATGTGGATGATATAATGGAAAACAGCTCAGAATGGGAAGTCAGAGCTGAGCTCCACTTCCGGTTCACATGTACAAATACCCACTCAGCTATGTGTTAAATAGTAGGATTGTCTCAGGAAAATTAATCTTGAATACGTCTTACAATCCAAAATATGTTTCAGCTTTAAATAACACACAAAGGGTCGATAAGCTGTAGAAAATATTATCTAATTTTGGTAGAAGAATGGTGAATGTTGTAGTAATGTAGGATGTGTTTTTTTATTCCTTCAAGAAAGCTATGAGCTTTTTTTTTTTTTTTCTTAAGGGAACTTATGTATTATCACATAGAATGATATTATTATGAATAATTAATATATTGTATTTACAAAATTATTTATACATTGGTATGTAATTTATAGGAAACGCATTTTCAATCATAACATTTATTTTGTTTTGTTTATTTTTGACTAACCATTTTGTGTAGGAAACTTCTTTTTTTTTCCTAATATTTATCATTCAATCAGTTTTAACAACATTTCGACTGTGAAAGTCAAGGTAAACTATGAAGGAGGCTAAGTGATATAATTTAATGCCTAATAAATGAAAATGAGTAAATGTTGAATTTTTTATTTGTTTATCTATATTTATTTTTTTATTTATATTAATGTAATATGATTTATTTGATTTTAATTTGATAAATTGTTTATTTTTGTATTCACTTGGTCTCACCTATCACTGACAAGCATAAAAAAATTTGATCAAATTTTAATTTAGATTCTCATAATTACTCATGATAAACATGTAACAATCAGTATGTCTTTAACCAAATTTTATTTTATCTTAGTTGAAAATATGTTTGATTTTGTTCCATGACCTTTACCTTAAAAATAATGAACTGAGACCAGTGAATAACTGTTGACAGAAAAATCTTTGTTTTATTTACTTCTGAAATTTCTATGTAAGTACAATAAACCTTCCATTTAAGACAAATAGGCAAGATATGAAAGTCAATTGAGGCTGAATCACTGTGGCCATTTACTTATTTTTGTTTTTTAAATATAAAATCATTCATACAATATTATACTATATAATATAAAATTATTATAATGAACAATGTGATATTGTTTTTTGACAGTGGAGTTCAGTGTTTTTTTGGGTTTTGATTTGGTGTGAGAGAGAGAGAGTGTGCGAGTATGTGATATATAGACAAAATCTTGCAAAAAGTCTGTCCTGAAAACCCCTAATTTCATCTGATTTAATTTTATGCTTAATTAAAAAAAAATATAGAAAGGCAATTTAAAATATTTTATTACTGACTAATAGACACTGGAAACTTTATGAAAAACAAATCTTGGGCCTGTAAAAAAGATAAATTAAATCAAAGTTTTACTGCCATCATTAATATTTTGCTCACTGCCTGAAAAATGTGTTTGTTTGAGATATATAATAGTTTTAAGATATGCTATATTTATGGGTTAAAATGGTCAATATCAGGAATATAGCATATGTAAATATAAAATGGATATTGAGATCACCACCCAGTGGCTGTGTGTTGACTTCAATAATTCATTGTCCATTTATTTATTTATCCACCCTATACATTATGTGCAGACAGGCACATGGCACACATATACATAATGAAAAAAGTTTGGTTGGGTGTAAATTAATATAAAGTCTTGATTTTGAGAGAATCTGACAAAGGATACTGGTCAAAAGTTTAAATAGAAATTATCTTCGTTTGTGTATGGATATATCTATATATAAAGAGATGAGAAAAAAACTGCACTTTGCCGAGTATGATGAAACACGTTGGCTAAGTGTAGTTTTTCTCTTGTCTTTTTTATTCATTTTGTCTCTTTTACAGATACAGTCCATCTGAGAATATTTATATACACACACACACAATATATATATATATATATATATATATATATATGTATTTTTATGCTAGATGCAATCGTCAGGCCTGATGATTGCATCTACCATGAAACACTGTCGCCTCTAAGTGTTGACTTCTATGTTCACTTTTATATTTACACATGCTCTATCTCTGATATTGAGCACTTTATCCCATAAATATAGCACATCTTAAGACTATATTTCTTTTATATATATATATATATATATATATATATATATGCCTTTATCTGTTAGAGGTATGCAGGTAGCAGACATTTAATGGTATTGATTGATTCTAGAGAGAATATTAACTTTAAAAGGACATAAGTCTCTTAGATGTAATTTGACATGCATTAAGTATAATACTGTTAGTAAAGTTTATGGAATTTGTGTAAATGTCACATACTTGTCAAGTAATCTGATTTCATGTTCCTAAAAGAAATGCTTATTTAAAATGTTTGTCTCAGATTGGTATAAAGGCTCTGCTTTTTTGAAAATGTGCAAAATGATCATTTCCTGCTTCCTTAAATTAAAAATTATGTAAACTTGAACTGTGGAAATTGATAATTAAGATTATTCATTATCTTGTGTCTCTCCTCTTCTCCTTTCTTGTTCTTTCCCTTATCCATTCCGATTTTGGTTGGCCACCTATTTTTTATCTTAATGCTATATAAATGTGGATTAGTTTCATTTGAAAAAGGAATAATTAATACACAAATTTTATCTTTCTCTTTAAAATAAAAATAAAAAAACAAAACAAAAAGCTAACTTTAGTCTATAGCAATTTTTATGCTTTTTATTCCTATCATCTCTTCAGTCTCGGTTTTTTTGTATCCAACCAGCATACCTCTTTCCATTTCTTTCTCCTCCATTTATATACAAGTAATTTCAGTTTGCAATACTTATTGGTGGTCAACTCACAACAGAATGTCTATCTTCAAGTTATATTCAAAATAATTTTTCAAGTATAAAAATATATAAATCTACAAAAAATTATCATAATGAATATGTCAGAACAATTGAAACGCCACCAGCATGAAGGCATGCAGCTGAAATGTGCTTAATATGATGATGATCTCGTTCATCTTGGAATTTTGATTAATTCCTCTTCATTACTAATGAACTAACGAAAAATGGCGGTGTTTCATTTATTTTGAATGTTTAACATTGCCAAACACTGTTTTTTCTTTCTTTTGGTAAATTGTACTCTTAACTGTTGAAAAATATTGGAGTTATATCAATCATTTTGATTTTTATTATTATATGATGATTTCCATCTGACTAGGTTGTCTTTCAGTTTTTTTTTTTTCTTAGCTTTCATCATTCATCTCCATCTTGATAATAGTATGCAGGTTTCTTGATCAGAATGTATAAGTGATTCCAGTTTAGGATGTCCATTATGAAGCAGATACTATACACTGATGGTAGGTAGAAAAGGTTCTTTTAGAAAAACAAGCCGGATAATAGTATAGATGTATAGAAGACAAAAATTGTTTACTGTTGTATGGTAAGTAGAATTGTACATTAGATATGGCAACAATCTGCTTATAAAAGCGATAGATAAACACAAATAAAATGCTTACAGCCATATCATGTTGAAACATTAGTTCCCATTAGATCACTGTAGTTAAGCAACATCGAGCCTAATCAGTACCTAGATGGGTAACTGCTTGAGAATACCAGATGCTGTGAACTTGGATGTATAGGTGGTGTAATGGCTCGGAATTTTTAATTGGAGACCTGAATTCCAATTCCAGTTAGGTTCATTATATTCCCTTATGTGCAAATACCTATTTTGCCCTATGCACCTTTTTTACCAGAAGTCAGAATGTCACCACCACCTCTTTCCAAGATTGTCCAACTCAAAAGGTGCATGCCAAATAATATATATTAATGAAAATCTTAATTCTTTTCCATATTGGTATGTATACATTTACATGGATTATTTTTATAGAAGAGTTTTACAAATTTAATAGCAATAGAAAATGTTTGAGTTTTAAATGTGAATGCATGTACAGTATTTGCTTTTAATTCATAACTAATTATTAAATAAACTGAAGCATATGTCAATAAACCCTTAAGTGGTGGCTGGTTGAGAACCTGATCTAGAAGTTAATTGTGGTGTTATTACAAAGAAAAATTTTTAAAAGGCCACTGTTTATGGTCTGATGTAAATCATTTTTATTTGAAGTAATTAATTTCACTTTTGATTAAAGTTTTGCAATTTCACATTGCAAATGCCAGAGACTTGTACCAGGCGGCCAGGCCAGTAAAAAAAAAAAAAAAAAAAAAAATATTTGACCAAGCAGGATAAACAAGTATTGGAATATAATGCTTAACCATTTTTTTTTTTTTTTTTTTAAATGGTTTTACTTGATCACACTAATAATACATGCATGGAGTCTTTCTTTTAACACTGGCTCAAGACTTCCTTTTGGTTTGAAACAAAAGGAAGCTTTGAACCAGTGTGTGCATTCATTGACCAATTGCTATGAAATTTTCTTTTTTAGACTTAATTTATCAACATTTAATACATAATGTTCCAGCTTTTTATACTTTTAGAATTTGTTGTCTTTTGTTTTTAATAGGCATAAAAGATTCCTCGATTGAAATAAATTACAACTAAATTGAGTTCTTTGATTTCTAATTAGCATCCTTGTTTAAGCACAAAGGCTTTTCTAAACAAGCATAATTTGCTGAATTGAGATAAAGTATATGTAGATATATTTAAATTGAAGATTCCCTTATTTTGAGATGAATATAATTTATTTTAACAGCCCATTGTCTACTCATTAATATGGCCTACAAAAACGTTGCTCACACCTGGGCTATGGTATTATTTCTGGACCATGAAAAGAGTCTTAAGTGAATAGAAAAAGAAATGTGTGACTTAAATTTAAATAAATTACCGAATCTATGCATGGAGATGACAGTAATACTTGTAAACAAAGAATAGGTCTGTAATGTTGTAGATTCTGCTATTGCAGTAGTTCTAAGGTAAAATAAAGAATAAAAGTTGGATAAATATCAAGGAATTATGTGTTATAAAGACAGCAGTTGACTCATTATCATAGTGTTGTTAGGAAATGTCTTGCCAAAAAGTTAGAATTTGAGATTTTAATTTTTCCTCAGAAGTAAGAGACACTAGATATGTGTGGTTGGCATGGAAACTCACTACCTATAAAATAATCAGCAATTTCACTTATTCAGTCTTCTTTTGTTGTACATATTTCGGAGTATGAAAAAAACAAACAAACAAACAAATCCCTGTTAATGAGAAGTAAACCTCTTGCTTTCTTACAATGCTGTATGCTTATTTGTTGCAGTGATCTTAATAACACCTGTTGATGTACCACTCAGTTCTGGCCACTAATCTGTCTGTTTGTAATCAACATTTTTTTTTTTTCCTTCATTGGCCTTGATGTCTTTTTTTCTTTTCTTTTTTGACTGAAGCCAAATCCCTGCCCACAGCAACCTTTCAACCACCCTCCAGCTCTAAACACTTGTTAATTGGCCTCTTTTTGTAACCAGTCACTTGTTGACTAACTTGGTTGGGCAATGCTTGTTCTCTAATCAAATGTGTGTAGTTTGGGGGGTGGGGGAAAGTGGCTAAAGAAAAGCAAAAGCACAATAAAATGATTGATGAATTGAGCCCTTGTTCTTTGTCGCCATGGACAGAACAGAAAAATACATTCATGTTTCTCATTATGAAGGATGATTACTGCGATTATGCTATTTTTAATGGTATCTTGCTGGTTTGAATATGGGTATCTTCTGTCTGTCTTGTTGATTAGTTTTAGAAAAGATGGCAAATATTTAGTCTTTTTTTATTTTTTTTTTTTTTTTTTAAAGTTACAAAAGAAATGACATTTATGATAAATCTTGTTGAAAAAAAAATGTTTTTTCATAGAATTTAATTCTGCACAAACTTTGCAATATAATGAGATGTTTGTTGTTTGGATTTTATGCATACACAATTTTTGTTTTTAGACTGTATATCCTAGTAAATAGAAATGTAATATATATATATATATATATATATATATAATCATAACTATATAAGGGCTACTGACAAGATCTCAGCCTAACCAAGAAGAGATTTAAAAATAATTATTTGGGGATTGGGGAGGTGGGTTAAGAATTCATTTGTATGAAAAACAATAATGCCTAATGTGTAATTTTTTTTGTTTGTACAAAATTCCTTTATTGTATGGACGATCTGAACTGACAATCATTTTTTTAAACTAATGAATCTTGATTTTTATTTTTATAGATTTTGTTTTTTACAGCTTATCAATCTTTTGCAGGTTATTCAAAACCAGAAAATATTTTTAGATTATAAGAATTTTTGGAAATAATAATGAGTTACTGATACAAGCCGTATTTAATCCATAGCTGAGTGTGAAGAGTTGGATTCATATCTTTTTCTCAAGGGTATTTGTGTGTAAGTGAATATAATGAACACTGCTGAAATTGGAACTTGGCTCTCCAATTCCATGCTGTTATCCATTATATCACAAGCTTATAGCACCCAATATTTCCAAGTGGTCACCCATTTAGGTACTGACCTTAACTTTGGTGATCATACAAGAACCAGTGTTTCAGCATGACCTGGCTGTAAACCTATTTTTATAGAATTTGCAATTTTGTAATCTTCTATTTGGGTGAAATGCAAACTATTGAAATGACTTCCTATGAGAAAATATCTGCTTCAGAACAAAAGAAACATAAATGTTTTTTTAAAATGAATTAAAACTAGTAAAAGGTATCAGAGCTTCTCAATTAAGCATTACATTTGAAATAAATAAATAAGAGAAATGGTCTCTGTCAGGCGATATTACCAAAGTCAAACAATTGCTGTTATGGCTGCAGTATATATGGTGCTCTTATGACTGTAATGGATTATGGGACACATGATATGAAATTTTATTATGTTTACTGTTGTTGAAGTGGGTATGAATTGCTTAGACTCATGGTACTTGCTAAATTAACACATGACTATTAGCCAGATAGTTGCAAACATGTTTGTTCACTGGTCCCATTAAATATAGTAATGACTGATGTATCTACAGGGTGCGATGGGTAAATTGTCAATATCTTATATTTTTAATTTCGCACATGTGCGTTGTTTCTTTTGATTTTGTTAACTGTAAAGTATCATCAGGTCAGTAGGACACTGTCTGTGAGAAAAAGAACACCATGACACAATTCACTCAGCCAGAAATTTGGAAATGACATACTGTACTGCTTTGCATTCATGTCAGAAGCTCCAATATGAACACTTCAGTGGGTGTCAATTTAAGCACAGTGCAGAGGATTCAGAAAGAGTTGGATAAGTCTAATGGTGATTACAAAGGTACAGTAACTTGGAAAACTCACTCTGATCGTTCTGATAAGAACTCCTGAATTTGTTGATGAGGGCCTCAGACTCAACATGGAGGCCTACATCAAATGCCTTGAAAAAATACTGCTGCCCTGGGTCAAGAGTGTAGCTGCTGAAAGACCCCATGTCTAACAGGACTCTGCACCATGACACTCAAGCAGGAGAACCCAGTCATGGCTATCAGACAATTTCTGCAACCACATCACCCCTTACATCTGGTCACTTAACTCCCCAGACTGCAACCCCTTGATTATTATGTATAGGGTGCAGTTGAGTGAGACCAACAAAACTCCTTGTAAGACCAAAGATGAACTAAAGGCAAGGATTATGACAGCATTCAACTTAAACAAAGAGACCATCTAGAAGAGTTGCAGGAGATTCTGAAGTTGTCTGGAGGCTATGGTTGAAGTCGATGGTAATTTTTATTGAATAAATTTACTTGTGATGAGACAATACTAATATTTTTATTGATTCTGATACAGTTCCAAATTTCTGATTCCGATACCTACAATGATTAAAACCCATTATTTTCACACTGTATAGTTGGTTTGGGAAACTTAATAAACAAAGTACATTTATTAATAAAACATTTAGTAGAAAAATGACTACAAAAACTCATGAAATAAAATCAGATATCCTTTTTATTTAAAAAAAAAAAAAAATTGGGTTAGGGTTTAAACAATAAAAAAACAATTTCTTTTAGTAAACCACTTGAGTACCTAGCTATTCTTAAATTATAATTTAAGAACATTGTCATCTCTCCTGTTTTGCCTTTCAGCTGATTTCTTTTTAGTAAGTAAATGTTTTTAAATGCAGACAATGCTCTTTTTCTTTTTATAAATTAAAAAAAAAATTCTTAAGAGAGCCTGATAGAACAAAAACTTGAATTCATTTTGTGTTCATATTACATAATTTTGATTATAATTATTAAATTAATAATTTATAATATTAGATGGGTGAAATAACAATGTTTAAAAAGATGTTAAAAATAAAAATTTTATTTTGAACTGAAACAGATTTTAAACTAGCAAACTATACAGAAAGTTTGAGAACTGAGTAGAAACTTACACATTTTTGTTTTTTTTCTTATACAAGTAAAATAAATTTACATCATACTTTGGTGTTATTATAATCTATAGATTTTAGTTTTAATGATAGTTTAAAATCAAATATTTATATCATTAGTACCAGGAATGGAAAATTAAGTTTTAAACAAAAAAAAAAATACAAAGAATTTTTGGGGGAATCAGAATTTAGATTAAAAATTTTCTGATTCCAATAACCCAAAAAGTTCTGATATTTCCAATT